CTTCCTGCATAGATTTTAAAAACCAGTGATTAGCACCTGCAAGGTCACAAGTCAGCAATGTGGCTCTATTAGCCTTGCACAGACTTTTGTAACCCCTCTCCCCAGCTTGGAGGATTTGGGGTGCTGCACAGACATAGTCCGCTGCAAGGTGAGGGCACCCAGGTTGTGTCTGGGAACCTCTCATGGAACCCAGAGTTTGTGTGGCAGATGGATGAGGCCTCTTTTTTTAAAGACTATTATACAAATGTTATTGTGTGTTCTTCATTTACTGCAGACTCACAGACTATTGTAGACTTGGCCTGTTCTCTGGTAATTGCATCTACATTAAAGCAGACACCCCCACAGGGCTCTTCCTTGCCTTGTCCTTGCTGGCTCAGAGCTGGGCAGTGATACATGAGTTCTGCTAGACCAGGGATGTGCAAAGTGTGCCCAGTAGCTGGCAAAGGTTAGGAGAAGAAGGCAGAGTTGTGCCCTATATAAGGCCAGTTCTGTTCTGCTTTATTGCTCTTGGGCCGCTTGTTTGCTAACTATGTGGAGTGCTACTAGTCCCTTCTAATCCATGCATCAATCGACCCACTATTCAGAGCTACATGCGACGTCTCACCCATATCAATTATTGTGGGAGTGGGAGAGTGGGGTCTGGGAGAGCCGCTCATTACTGCAGTGGAAAGTTGAGAATTGAATATGGTTCATTGCAGCTCTGTGGTGCCATGGAGTGGAGGAGGGGTAGGACTTTGCTGTAACAGTTCCAAGGGTAAGCTATATTTAGGCTGCTGGACAGAGATTGTGTCATTCTCTCTAGCTTCCTAGCACACACAGCCTTCAGAGCCTACTTCCATTACATAGCATCCTGACATAGACAATAATAAAAATATAATATTTTGCACTCATAAAGCACCTTTCATCGGATGATTGCAAAGGCAGGTAAGTTTTATTGTCCTCATTTTGCAGATGGAGAAAGTAAGGGACAGAGAGCTCTTGTGACTTGCCCACTGTCACAGAGCAAGTTGGTGGCAAACTCTGGACTGGAGCCTGAAAGTATTAATTCCCAGCCCCCCCTGCTCTAACCAGTGGGCATTGCTGCCTTGTAGAATGGACTGCTGACTGCAGTGCAGCGGTGTGATCCTGCAGCAGATTGTCATTCATTGTGTTGAAATACTGCATCGTGTATCGAGCCTGGCATTCTCCACAGATTTGGAGTCTGAATGTAGATACACCCAAATTCCCCGTCAGAATTCAGATGCCAGAAGGTTATTATGCATTTTCTGGCAAAAATAAACATGGGACCCTCCTTAGGCCTGCACCAAAACTGCTGAAGCTGGCACAAGCCAGTTTAAAGGAGTGCTCCGAGTATAAGACTGTGGGAGAAGCAAGTGAATAGTTGATTTAATGTCTTATTTTCACCTGTTTCAAGGAGACCAGCTAGTAATACAACTGAATTCTTTCCTCCAAGTGATATCATCATAAATCTCTGCCTCTTCATGCCCCCATCTGCTCACGCTTTCGGATAATAACCAAACAGTACCTTGGGTGGGTGCTGCCATCCTTCACTCATTCATGTTGGATGTATGGCCAGAGACGCCACAACAGGGTTTTTTCAAAAGCAGTGACTCTCCCCTGTGATTAGATAACACGGGGCTTGTCAACTGCAAGGTGTAGCATCCTTCACAGTCATGGGAGCCCCTAAAGGGAGGACTGTAAAGAGAGATAAGATCAGCTGTTTAGTTCCATAGCCTGTACGGTGATCACACTTCTCATGAAATGCCTTGTCCCTCCCTCCATCCCCTGGTAACCTTTGTTGTTTGTGTGGTGTCAGTCTCTCAGCTCTGGAAAGCTGGTGTGTTGAATGCCAGTGACTGAGCTTTGGGAATGTGCTGAAAAGTTGGGGAGCTTTTCGGTGTCTAGTGTTGGGGACTCAGCCCTGGGAAATATATGTACGGAAAGGTAATTGTGCATGTGTATGCACAGTGCTATAGAATTGCACTGAAAAGTTAGGTGAGCTTGTGTGGCTAATGCCAAGCTCTGGGGATGCTCTGCATGACCTTCTGAGCCTACAATACAGTTATTTTCTCATCCTGAAAATGGTTGCATGATTTAGTCTCATTTGCTGTGGGTGTTTGAGATGTCATATGTCTGAATCTTTGATCTTGCCTTCCTCTCCTATTAATGGTCCATCAGGTTTTGGTACTTTTTCCTTCTGCCTGATGGAGTCTGCCCTCTGACCAGTCGGGTGCATGTCCTCTGCATGCCTCCAACCTCTATTCGCTCCATTTATCTCCTTACTTGAGGGTGTGCCAGACCCTTATTCTGAGCCATCTGTCTGTCAAAGTGGAAGGGGATGTTTGCACTGTGGAGGCAAGAGGACACAATACTGCCCCATAGAAGAGCCCTGATGTTCCGTGGATGTATTTTACAGCAGTGGCGTCTCCCCAATGCTAGCAGAAGCAGGACACATGTTTGCAGTATTATTAGCTAGAACTATTCATATAGCATAGTGATTCAAGAGTGTCCATGAGGAGAAAATCCCTTTCTTCTCCTGCCCACCTCCCCAGCTAAAACATAGAATGGGGAATAAACTGTGATGTTAGTGATGGACTCTGCCATGGACAGGTGGGTACATGTTCAGGTTCATCAGGCAGTCATCAGAAAGGCTGGCAATTTGGTTACTGACTGTGGAATCCCACCCACCCTCCCTGGTCTGACCTGACCTTGGAGAGTGGATGGAATGAATGCAGATAGGCTGAGCTGCCGCTAAGCATTAGAGGGATTTTGCATTCCAGTAGCGGCACGTCACTATCACTGTGGCAAGCCACGCCATATTTGGGCATCTCCTTTCTCCAAGGTGCTGACTTGGAGACAGAAGGAGGAATTGATTTCAGAGACATCTTCCTAAAGACAAATGAGTCTTAGGGGGTATTTTTTCCTTAAATGCAACCGTGTCAGACCAAGCACTTGATGAGACCCCTCCGAATATCAACAGTTATCTTGTGAGATGAAGGACATTGGGCCTTTGTGGAAGGGATCAGGGTGAACCAGCTTCTTCACAGTAGTACAATAGCTGCATTTTTGTGAAATTGCTGTAGGATAAAACTGCATAGTGCAGATTTCTATTTTCATGAATTGCTTCCTGCTTAGTGGTGGTGATGGGAAGATGATGTCTACGAGTTATCACCACCAATCAATGTGTGTCACTGAAGCTTGGCTCTTAGGAGAGTTCTATGAGAATTGCAGTACCACATGTATACTTACACACAAACTGTGTGTGTGTGTGTGTGTGTGTGTGTGTATCTCTCTCTTGTGGAATGTCATTGATTCCACTGCAGCCTGCTAATATATCTCCTCCCACTCCAGCTATGAAATAGATACTTTCTGAGATCACAAGTGTGGAAGTGGATCTATCAGGTGGCTTCTGATTCTGCAGAAAAGAATAAACACTTTGAAAGAATCAGAAAGGGACTGTCCCAGAGGCACATGTACCCTTTCTTCCAATGTGAGAAAGGCTGAGAGTTTCACTGGTTTCTCTCTGGGAGACATGACCTCATCACTAAGGCTTGAGAACTACAGCTCCCAAAGTGCCATGCAGAAAGCTCTACCTGCCTGTCAGGGGGAGAAGTTCTGTGCTTAATGGTTGGTGGAGGAACATACTCAGCAAGTTAAGGGGCACTAAGAAATAAAGCTATGTGGGGAGAAGTTCCTGGGGGATTGTCTGGTTATTAGGGGATTGATGCTCTGGCACAGCATTGCAGTGTGTTTTGATTGTGAAGATGATGGCTGCAGGGTAACCAGGTACAGTATTTGGGGGGGGGAGGGGGCGGGGAGAAAGTCTAGCTAGATTCCATCTGTCTTTTGGATGGTTGGCTAATCCTGCCCTGGTGGACTTTTGAAAACTGGTCTTGCACCTATATATATTGCCTGGTTTTGCCTGTACACTGCTTGCCTTAGGCTATCTCTTCACGGCAGAGTTAACTAGAGTTATCTACACTCATCACAAACACTCACTGTGGGTTAATTAACTCCTCGTCAGTTAGCCTATCTGGGGTGAGAGCGGTCACACTGCGATATAACTATCGAGCAACACAGAGTGATTGTATTAGCAGCACAGGGTGAATGTATTAACTGTTGATGAGTTGTGCTAACTTGAGCTGCAGCTTGTACTCCCAAGGGGCCAACCAACTCTATTTAAAAGCACCATCACATTTGAGTTCAGGTTTGTGTGTGTGGTCAGGACTCAAGTTGGGGGCAACACTCGATTTATAACTGCAGTTAAATCTGCATTGAAGACAAGCCCTCAGAGTCGCCATGTTTTGGATAGGTCGAGGATGAAGAGAGAGGATGGTTTTGTGATTAAGACACTGGACTAGGTCTCCAGAAATCTGTGGTCAGTTCCTGGGTCTGCCATAGACTTCTTGTGTAACACTGGGCACATCCCTTGCTCTTTCTGTGTCTCACTTCACCTGCTGTAAAATGCTAGTACTTCCTTTCTCCCACTGTCTTCTCTGTTTAGACTGTAATCTCTGTGGGCCCTGACTCTCTCCTACTTTGTGTATGTACAATGCCTAGCACAATGGGGCCCATCCAAGGCCCACTGAAGTCAGTTGGAGTTGGGATGATGGGTTAGACCTTCTGTTGTTTGAGAGGCCTGGCATGAGCATAGGACTGTGAGCCAGGAACCTCCTGCATTCTGTGCCAGGTTCTGCAAGTGCCTACCTCTGTCTGATCGGGCATGCCACTTAATCCTCTGCCTCAGTTTCCCTATTAGTGAAATAGGGATAGTATTATTTACCAACTTTTATAGGGGAGGGGATGGTGAGGCTGAATTAATGTTTTCTAAAGTGCAGTATAAATGCTAAGTGCTATTATTATAGCTTCTGCTTGTTTGCTTGTTGGTGCATGAAAGGGAGGGTCAGAAGGAGTGGGAAATGGGTAAGAGGGGACAATGTGTATAATGATTTCTAATGTAACCTTCTAACCTTCACTTCTATTTCTCTTTTCTCTTCCAGGTGGAGCGGGAAATAGCCATCCTGAAGTTGATAGAACATCCCCACGTTTTAAAGCTGCATGACGTTTATGAAAATAAAAAATATTTGTAGGTATTATTGACTTTTGCCAGGGAGTCAGAAGGGAAATGGAAGGGAAGGAGTTTGGGGGGAGAAATGCATAACAGTACAAAGAGACTAGAATAGGATATGAGGTCACTCTAAACTTTGTTGCCCATGTGGCCTGCTATCAGCACTTGATTGAGGAGGGAATGGTTTTCATTTACTTGGTTTCCTCATTCCCCCTTTTCTTCTGTTTTCCCCCTTTCGAATCTTAAAAAAAAATTAAATTACAAACAAGCCTTTTTCTATAATATTTAGCTGATATGGAGGGGCAAAATCCAGGTTTGTAGACTCCAAATTAGACCCACCTCAAAACTGTTATAATCTGGTGTATAAAATCCTCCAGGTTCTAAATATTTTAAATTAAACCCTCACCAAGAAATTTAATTTGAAAAATGTCCAAACAATAATAGCTATTGTTTTTGTAGGGCCTACTTGTCTACACCCATCAGTGATATTGGTCCACAGACCGAATTATTTTGGCTTGACAAGGTACCAGATAGTTCGAAATTGTTGTCAAACAAACAAGACACATTAATCTTGGCTCAACTTAAGAAAAAAAAAATCAATGTTTTCCAAATGGAAAAGGGCAAATCCAGAAGGGAGTTAAATGTGATTTCCAGGTTTTTAACAGGGTATTGCAAGCAAGGGGAGAGTGTTTAAAACTATTTTTGAAAATCACGTTCCAGCAGTGACCCCCCTTAATGTCACAGCAGTATAAGGGTGTAATCACTGAACCAAGGAATGTGTGTTGAATGGATGTAATAATCCCATATCGACCATACGACCAAGCTTGTTACTGGAGCAATGAATTCCTATTCCAAGAAGTGAGGCCTCGGCGTTCAAGGGTTAGTTTAATAGACCTGGCAGTAATTTCTTTTGGATTCCGAATCCTCCTCTGGGACAGAGCCTGCCCAGGGTGGTGAACAATGGCCACCAGACGGCTTGTCACAGGTGCTGGGTGGAGCTGGTTCCCATGTATCTTCAGCTACATGCTGTGGGCCAGATCCTCCGCTGGTATAAGGGGGCATGACTCCATTGAAGTCCAGTTTGCACCAGCTGAGGATGTAGCCCCAAGTGTCCTGGCAAGCCAGCCTTCTTTGCAAGGGAGGGGCAGTAAAGGGAGTGTGGGATGACAGACAGGAATAGAATTTCTATAGCCAATGCATTCTGATTTAATTGAGGAAAAAGAGATACTGGTGATAAGCAGGGATCTAATCTTGCTCCTGTTGAAGTCAATGGGAAGACTCCTAGTTTATTTCAGTGAGGGCTGGGATCAGACTTCAGGCTTCCTATTGGCTGAGTGAAAGAGTCTTTCATGTGTGAACCCTTTTTTTCTTATATCTACAACCTGTCCATTGACGGGCTGCGTGCGTTTGGGTGATCGATACAACGTACAAACGCCTGGAAAACAAAGGCCAAGCTGAACAGTTCAGGGTGGAGTTGGGATTAAAAGATCATTATTTTTGTGGCATTGACAGTCAAGCATCTCTTTTCTCTTAGTTACAGATGCCTTCAACAAATGGTCTCTGCACATGTGTGCAGATAACTGCTGAAGTAGGTTGCGTTGTTACCCCCTCCTGGACAATGGGATTCTTTTACGGCATGGAGGATGGTGCTGTTTAATGGTTACAGCATGGAATTCATGCTCTACTGCAAGTAGTGTCCCTATGGGTGCTCTACTGTAGTGTGCTTGCGCCCTTGCACTGCTGATCTGAGAACTTCCGTAGCTGTGTTCTGTTAGGCCAGCACATCTGCTGTCTCTCCTCATGCCCTGCTAAGAGGCTAGCCAGTGAGTGCAGGCTAACCCTCCTCAGTTCCTTCTCAACTGCCCCTGGCTAGAGACGGAGCTATTCGCAGTCCGTTACAACCATTACTCTCGCTTTACATTTCTGTAGCCAGTTAGTCTCCTATTACATAGTTGTAATTGTAGTTTTCTGCTTCTTTCTTATTTTTCTCCCAGAAAAAATATTTTTAAAAAAGAGACTTTATTTTTTGCCGCTTTTTCTCATTGGGGACCCTTCCCCCAAAAGGATATGCCCAGTTCATTGGGCTTCAAGAAGTGCCTCTCCAGCAAAGATGTGATCCATGTCACAGACAAGCACTCCCAGTGTATTCGCTGCCTCAGGGAAGGCCACATTCCACAAAAGTGTGGTCTCTGCCAGCAACTCAGGCCCTGGTCTCGTAAGGACAGGGAGCTGAGATAGAAGATCATCTTCATGAAGGCAGCCCTCCGACCCTTTCCGGACCTGCACCTGGCAGACATGAGTCTTCCCCACAGCCCTCAACATCCAAAGGCTGTGGATTGAAGAAAGCAGCCACTGAGCCCTCTCAGAAGTCCCCATGGTGAGCCCCGAGCTAGCCATAAATGATCTCCGGCATGCTCGGTGTCCTCGGTACCATTGGCACCAAGACAATCCCAGCCCAGTACCCAAGGCTTATGAAGATCTACACCGGCAGGTGCCAGTGATGCACCCACAGATCCAATGGGCACAGGTATCAAGTCAGTGGCACCAAGGGACAAGGACAGGAGTAAGCACTCCTCTAAGAAGATGTTACTGGAATGCAATACTCCATTGCTAGCATCATCAATGCCCCATGCAGCACCAGAGAGATCGGTGTGAGCTAGATCTCTGTCCTTCCCAGTACCGCCAGTGGCACTAAAGGATCTCCATGTAGCCGACATACCGGAGTCTCCTCTTCTCAGTACCAAGACCTCTGCACTGAGTCTTCATCTGGCACAGGAGTCTTCCCCGCTGCCCTGCCATGCTCCGCCACTCTTGCAGACTTGGACAGCAAACCAGAGGAGGCAGTATTGCAATACTCCTCCAAGGCTCCCTATGGTTCCCAATACCAGCAGAGTCCCTAAGCATATCCCCAGATGGCCCCACCACCACCATCTTGGTACGGTCAACCATGGGCACCATCACTGGGCTCTATGCCACCACCACTCCAGTGGCCATACTGGGACCCTTGGGCTGCATATTGCCTCCATGCCTCTCGAGCATCTAGCCCCACTCGAGAACTCTCGAGACACACCCCCTCAGCTGCAGCATCCAGAGTTTCTGAACCTGCAGAAGAAATCGTGCTGAAACCAGAGGGCAGCACTGAGGAAGAGGTGACCATAGCCTCCTCCTCACTAGATGAGGCCTTTATGCCTCCACCGCCTTCTCTTGCTGATGATTTTCGTGTCTTCCAGGATCCAGTGAAGAGATTGGCAGACACTCTTCAGATACCGCTAGAAGAAGTCAAGGGCATCCACCACAAACTTCTTGGTACCATTCATCCTTGTCCTCAAAAATTGCCCTCACTATTAATGAGGCTCTCCTGAACCCCACAAAAACCATATGGCACACCCCAGGATCAGTGGCATCTACCTGCAAGCAGGTGGACAAAAAATATTATATCCCACCAAGGGACATAGAATTCCTCTTCTCCCACCCTCCACCCAATTCCATCATGGGGGATTGTAACAGTGTTGGGACTCACCACCCAACCCCCCCTGCTCGTCGTCCTCGGGAATTAGCTCAGTCCAGCAGAGCACCCCCTCCTGGTGGTGTCCCGTCTGTCGTCTCGCCCTCGGTTGGCGTGTGGACCTGCGTTGCTCCCAACTTGCGGCGTCCTCTTCGAGCCACTGCCCTCCGGCAGTGCCCCTTAGTCCATCCTCGCCCCCTTCTGGGGGGGGGTCAATCAGCTGTCTCTCTGTGCCCCGGCCAATGTGGGCAACTGCACCCCCAAAGTCACACCCCTCTTGGCAGGGGGTTGGTGCAGCCCAAGATGGCCACTCCTGTCGGCCAGGTGTAAGGCAAGGGGGAAGAGGGGGACCCAGGCCCGCCCACTACTCTGGGTCCCAACCCAGGGACCCTCTTGTGGCAGCCATCCTGCCCTCCTTCTCTCCCTCTGTCTGTCCACGTCCCTGGGCCGCTTCCCCTTTGGCCCCTCGCACCGGCTAGGCCCTTCCCCTCAAGGCCTGCAGCCTGGCAGACAATGGGCTAGAGTTCCCTTCTGCTCCCCCAGCCTGCCCAGCGCTGTCCCAGGTGCTAGTCTCCCACCTCTGGAGACAGACCTTCCCCTGTCGAAGGCCTGGGACAGACTGCCTCTCCTCTCCCTGAGCAGCCTTTTGGTAGGGCTGAGCCGGGCCCTGATTGGCTGTCTCCAATCTGGACCCCGATTGGCTTCCAATAAGCCCTTGTCTAATTGGCTGCCTGTCTGTGGAGGCGCACTGGCCTGCTGCAGCCCACTCTCTCAGGGAGTGGGGCAGCCGCCCCACTACAGGGATGCTGTTAACTCTCATGGCCATCAACATCAGATGAGGTCTACTCCCTACGATAGGGACTGGAAGGGTTTGGATCTTTTTGGCCTCGGCTACGCTACAGTTTTGAATTGCCAGTTACCAAGCCCTATCAGTGAAATACAACTACAGAAACTATTAAAAACTGAACAATTTTATTGAATAGCTGCCTGAGTCACACCACGACCAATTTAAAGCCATTATTTAAGAGGGACAGTTGGTGACCAAGATAGCACTACAATCTGCCGTCAATGCAGCCAAGACAGCAGCCAGGTCCATCTCCACAGTGGTGGGTATTTCTGTCAGGTTGCCCGAAAGAGATGCAGTTGACGTTGAAGACCTTCCCTTTGAAGTCACTAAGCTCTTCACGGAGAAGATGGACGCCTCTCTTCACACACAAAAGGATTCTAAGGCCACTCTCTGCTCACTGGGAATCTACGTGCCAGCACAAAAGAGAAAATATAGTCCGCAGCCTCACCACAAACCACGCACCTCCCAAGACCCAAGTCAGTGCTACTACGAGCCACAGAGGAAGAAAACTAAGTTTCCGAGGCATAAACCATCTGGCCCACAATCTTCTACATCCTAGCTATCCACTTCCAAGCACCAATTTTGATATGTTGGTCAAAGCATCAATAGACCACTCCTACAGCTGACCACCGCTATCCGCTGATTTGGCTACCATCTGGCAACATT